AGTTTGCTGCTTGTTTGACTTGGATTTAAAAACCTGAACTTTTGCATGACTTGCAAAGCAGTCGTCTACATAATGTGTGTGCAACCCAGGAAGAGTAAGTAGTTTATTCAGTTAGCAGGCTTGAACTTCTAACCTTGCGACATGGTAAGCTGCAAATTCTAATATCCTCGGCTTACATTGTTGTGGACAGTCGCTGAATGATATATGACTTTATCAAAGAAACATGTTGAAAAAGTTCCTGCTTATTTGCCTTGAGGGTGGTTAGCATGTGTAAACGTGCCCGAGCGGCAGAGACGAGGAACATTTCAACTTATTCAAGAGAACTAATTTGTTTACATTGTATACAGTCCAAGTTTTTCAGTTGCCACCTTTGGAAATTGATTATGAGAGAGAATATAGCTAATCTTCCGAAATCTTTTAATCATTTAAATGTTGAGTTATTGACTGCAGTGTTGAGTATTGTTGTTCTTGACTGTCAACTGCTGGAGCTGTTAATACAATAAGTGTCGTAAAAAATCCCAAAATAAACATTATTCACATCAGCGCTAAAGGGTATAACGGTATATACTGCGTGATGGTAGAAATGTCCCAATTTTGCTTGGGTGCCATCACTCAATCAACAGTAATGATGTCATTTTCATATCAGCCTTCATTTGTTGCATGAATGTTATATATTGGTTTGCATCCATCATGTTCTAAATAAAAAGTTATTAAAATAAAGCACCTTTAATTTGTAAACTATTTAATGCATTGGATCACACACACACACACACACTCAGCACTTTGCTTTATGATTCCATGACAGTGATGCATGTGACATTGGCTGCAAATGTGTGTGTGTCTTAAGATATAAGATAAGGACTAAAGGTTGGCAATAGCTGAAGAACCAGCTGCTGTTTGGAAAAGAATGAGACTGTAGAGAAAAGGAGGGGTTTGGATGACTGTGTGTGTGTGTGTGTGTGTGTGTGTGTGTGACAGACTGAAAGGGATCTACAAAACTCTGTTGCTTCCTATTCACATTAACATATAGAATCTCTCCACACAGTATATTGTCTTTTGTTAAGTCAAGCATCACTATTAGTGTTACTCCTCATTTGGCTAATGATCTGAACAAACTAAATGATGAAACTCCCACAGATTTACAATGAAGATGAACCTGAGATGGAAAAATCTGAGACTTTTCACTCGGAGCAGTAAGCAACCACCTAGAAACCACCCAGATCACCATAGCAACACCCTAGTAACGGAAACCGCAAAAATATTGTTTTTGATCATGTTGTTCTCTCTCTCTCTCTATATACACACACACATTTTATATATATAATCCATAATATTTTATGGCTTTATAGCTATAATTCCCATCTCAAAAAAAAAAAAAGAAAATTGCCATTAAAGGACCTCCAGATCACAATTTTACAAATTCTCTGATATTTCTTGTCTGGAAAGCCAACCATAATCAACAATCAATGTTTAAACCTTCAAAAGTAATGCAAATCACCCAAAACATTCAACATTTGATCACAACAGTTTCTTCGCTTTACAAAAGAAAGTTTGGTTGTAATCAAAGACATTTAGAGCATTGTCTGATCAAAGTGAGGAGTTTATGTGAAGTTCAGCCCACTGTCGTCGGTCCTCTGACCGTAACTGCGCTGCTAAAGCATTCCTGTACACGCAAATCAACAGTTGTTTTGGGAAAAGACAGACTAGAGATCCAGAAGAATTTTTTTTTTTATCCAATTATGATCAATAATGGCAGTAATGTTGCACTATTAAAATTCATATTTGTTTAGAAGGCTTCTTTTCCTATATCTGCAAGATTCTGCATTATAGGCTTTTCATACCTTTAATCCTGAGCAGTGAAAAATTCCTTGGCAAGGACTTCGAGCCACAGTCGCGATTGTCTGATGATGTGGCAAAGTGTTAACTGTGACAACGGCTCTTCGCTACTGATCACATCCAGTTGCGCAAGACTCACAAGACTTCGGGAATCCCTCTATTGGTGCTAGCTAAATATTTTGCTCATTACGAGCGAGGTTATCTTCCATCTGGAAGCAGAGGATCGGTTGTCAATTCAAAGCAGAAGCGGAGTTCAAGGCCTCCAGCCTCACCCTAAAACCGAGGGGTTAACACCGGCCGGCCCCTAATGAACCGAGCGCTGATAAACTCAGGAAGAGCTGTGCTTCCTATGAAAATATTTATCATTCCAGAAACCTTTGGCTACAGAGGACTTTAGGAATTAATTCATGTTTTCTTAAGAGGGGGCATTTCAGGATGGGGAACTCGGGCCTCGCTTTGCCTCCTCGAGCAGGAATTGTGCAGCTTATTCACAATTTATTAGGGTTAGTAATCAGAACCATGATGGAAAGAGAGCTCAGAGTGAGACCTGATGTTATTATACACTGAAAACGAGAGCGTTAAATCAAACTTGCCCCTGTGCACATGACCTTTGATGTGCTGTGCGTCTAACATTTTCCAATGGGGAAAATCCTTTAAATAAGTGTTGGGTGCATTTATGTCTGATTTCAGCCTGATTCATTTGTGATCTGACCTATCCATGAATGGCTTTGAATAAATTAACCAAAATATCGGCATGCTACCAAATGGAGTAATGCACATATCGTCATACTGAGAATAAGAGATCTGACTCCATTTTCAAAGCATGGGAAATGTGAATGCAAAGAGAATGGTGTTCATTTTTATTTATTCATTTTTGTGATAGTCAAAGAGGTATGAATTTGGTTCTTTTAAAGTCTAAACAGACTGGAAAGTAACCACTTCAATCAGCAGCAGGAGATTGAATTTCATATGAATTTAGTTCTTTTAAAGCGGAATCAAGTGTGAACGGATTGGATTTCTGCTGGCAGCAGGATATTAAATTTAATATGAATAATTTAATAATGTAATACCCTTTTGTTCTTTTAGTTTTAATATCTAAAAAAACACCAAATGATAAATGTTTATCATATCACAATATTTTTCTAAATACATTGCATTGCATGCCTGTGCAAATGAGAAATATTATTCATTTTACGTTGTCATGTTAGAAAAACAGAATCTGCTGAGTTGCCGTGCATGAGTCAATATTTCTTGAACTTGTTTGTGGTGTTGCAAAGTCATGATGGTAGAATCACGCATTGGCGTTTAGGATCAGTACTACATCTGTAACTGGTTTTGGATCTCTGCGTCCGATTCATGATCTCTTCTGTGGACCTGGATGGTTAATAATTTGGAATTGTGCAACAGCGACCTGCGTTCTCGTGAAACAAAGCGGTGAATGTATTCACAGGGGGTTGTGGGAGCTTCTCGAGGACGATGAATGCTTCTCTTTGAAAAATGCTTAGCAAGGCACCCTAAAATTACCTTATTAGCTTCCTGACTTTAAACATCGCCTCAGCGAGTAATCGTCCAGCTCTGTGAAATCCAGCATTGATTTAGTTCAGACACATTTCGTAAAAGAAATCTGCTCGTGTGAATAGACACGTATGCATAAACTAAGGCTGCTAAAATGAGAGTAAAACTCTTTACCAAGTGTGATTGAACAGAGTGAAACGAAATTAATTTAAGAACGACACAGATGTTTAGATCTGAAAAACAAAGTATTCTGTTCAAAGATCTTAGAAAACGGTTCTGAATAGCACTAATTAACATTTCTTTGGTTTTTGATAATAGAAGGGGCCCATTAAAAACTACTGCAATGTCAGGGAGTGATCTGAAACAATATTACACTGCATTTTAACCCAAGTGAATGTGTTCAAATCGTGTTAGCATTTTAATCATGCTGAGCTTCCCATGATATAAACAAAAATAGAAACAACATTCATTGCACTTTCAAATATCACCTTATAGTAGCAAATACCAGTTTTTGATGGAAAAAGGTCCCAAAAGACAATCATTTATAATATTTGAAGTCTGCGTAGGGTATATCGTTTTTTTTTTCTTTTGTGCATTTGGTCGGTGTGATGCTTAAGTCTCGATATAAAAATAGGTACTACATTAATACAAATTATTACAAATACTAAATACATATCTACCAGATTTGGAACACTAATACTTTCACTTAACAGCTGAATGACTTGCAAATAAATCTTTTATTCAAATTGTATTCAAATTATAGTACTTTTAATTCTGTTTGCATAAAATGTTTTGTTTATGAAATGTGCCTAAAATAGGAATGACAAATTATTATTATGTGTTTAGATTATTTAAAGAAAAAAAATGAATCTGAAGAATCTATAATAACACATCCAGATTTTTAAATCGATTCATCTATCTATTAAATCTATTTTAAATATAGTTCGTGATATAGCAGATGCTTCTGAAGTTAGTAACTCAAGATCCTCGTCTTCATTTTTAAGAGTATGAACTGAAGCATCTCAACTAGAATCTTCTATTCAATTCAAACTATAGCATGATTTAACTTAGGCTTTTTTTACATTGTTTGATTAAAGTGTTCTGCAATAAATAAATATAAAATAAGAATACAATCAATAATATGAATAATGCAAGTATCTGTTTTTCTTAAATAAAACAGAAATACTCAATGCACTGCATACAGTACTCGATCTAGCCTTTATCTGCACTCCTTTAAAAAGAGGCTTATAGGTTTGCTGAATTTCTATATGGCTCTAAAAATAGTGATGTTTCTTTATTGGTTCTTCAGATCAGTGTTTAGGTTTCATTTAATGCACAAGGAAGGGGAAAAATAAAAAGGTTCTCCCATGACATAGGCTACCACTATAACACTATTGTGATCCTAAATTAAACTTTATTTTAAATAATGCATTTAAATATCTGCACCTTCAACCCTCCTTTCGACATCCCCAAAATGTTAACAAACGCGTCCTTCTGCACTTTCCTGTTTTTAATAGATTTTCTAACAACATAACTCATAGTATGAAGGATGCATGCAGTGCATTATAAAGACAGGAAATATTACCTGTTGGTAATTGTCAAATACAACACACAACAAGACAATATCAGTGAGTAAACGATGCACTCACCATATCTGAAGCAAAGCAAATAAAAAAAACCGGCTTTAAGTTCAGCAAAGTTTCCTCTCCATCCTGCGTGATGCGCGTTGCTCAAAGCGCCGACAGACGGAGATAATGTCGCATCCAGCCGCTGCTGTTACATTCGGATTTGGAAAATGATCCGGCTGCGCGAGCGCTCAGATCGCAGTGTGTTCGAGAGCTCTGGTGTGTGTGTCTCGTCCCCAGCATGTGTGGCGAACTCGAGTGCGCACTAATGTGAAGAAACGTTCAATAAATGAGCGAGCTGAAGTTCCTCCTCCTTCTGCTCGAGTCCTCAACGCGCGCGTGCGAGACCATCCTGCTCTGTCTGTGCGCAGATTTATCTATGCATGGATGGGCTTAAGTTTAGAAAATGTACCACACTAATATAACGAAACGTGAAAAACAGGTATGCAAGGCCATTTGAATTACTCTTTAATGCTTTATAAATCAGCCATACATATAATTTGTATCTACATGTATAAAATGTATCTACATTGTTTAAAAACACACTAAATAATGTCTTACTGGAAATGTATGAGTACAGAAAGGGTTAGTTCACCCACAAGTGAAAATTATGTCATTAATTAGGCTACTCACCCTTGTGTTGTTCCAAACCCGTAAGACCTTCGTTCATCTTCGGAACACAATTTAAGATATTTTTGATGAAATCTGAGGGCTCTCTGACCCTCCCATAGACAGCAAGGTAACTACCACGTTCAAGGTCCAGAAAAGTACCAAGATGATCGACAAAGTAGTCCGTGTGACATCAGTGGTTCAGCTGTAAAGTTACGAAGCTACGAGAATACTTTTTTTGTGCAAAGAAAACAAAAATAATGACTACTGCGTCACTTGTGGATGTGCATTCACGACAGTATCATGACGCTGGATCTTGGTCAGCGCCGCCACACGCTCGAGTCATGATACTGTTGTGAACGCACGTCCAAAGTGACGCAGTAGAGACGAAAATGTGGAATAAAGTCGTTATTTTTGTTTTCTTTTCGCAAAAAAGTATACTCGTAGCTTCGTAACTTTACAGTTGAACCACTGATGTCACATGGATTACTTTGAAACTTACTTTGGTACTTTTCTGGACCTTGAACGTGGTAGTTGCCTTGCTTTCTATGGGAGGGTCAGAGAGCCCTCAGATTTCATCAAAAATATCTTAAATTGTGTTCCGAAGATGAACGAAGGTCTTACGGGTTTGGAACAACACGAGGATGAGTAATTAATGACAGAATTTTCATTTTTGGGTGAACTAACCCTTTAAGGGTAGGGGATAGACAATATATTTAGCTCAGTATAAAAACAATGCAGCTCAGTGATAGAAAAAACAAATGTGTGATTGTGAAGGAGATTGCCTTTCTGAAACTTTATTTCAATGGTTTAAACACAAGTATGAACCCCATAACTGTCAGAAAAGTTATTAATGTATGTTTCAAGGGAAGTTACACAGTAAATCCTGATGATCACATTTAAATGATGATGATTTATGTCTTCATTATGAAGGCACAGTGTTCATACTGTGTTTCAGCAGATTTACATTCATAAATTGCTATGAATGAAGCCTCACACACTGTGATGTAAAAAAGTAACTAGAAGTCATATACAATGTATGAATTCCAGGCAATGTGAAAGAATAATTAAACAATAGTTCTGACCTATAACGGGATAAACATGCTGATTTTTGTTCCTCTTTTGTATAGTTCCCTTTTATTATGAGCAGTAAAGTGAGTTTCCTTTGGAAATGGACAGTGACAGTTTGTTTCCAAAGTTTAATTTCTAAAGCGGTTAAAAGAGAAGCATAAATCACCATCATATCGTTATCAACAGAAATGTCCTCAGGTATTACAGTATGTGTGTACATTTTCATTTGCATTAGAAGTGTTGTGGTGTTTCATTATACTCATGTTCTTCATATGTACTTAAATGTAAATATACCTTTATTATGAAATACTAAATTTGATAGCGACTCTCAATTAAAATTGTATTCTATATAAACTATATTGTCATTGGAAACTATGTGGATGTTACATGAATAAAAAGTCAGAATTGCGAGATATAAACTCTGAATTTGAGAAAAATGTAGAATTCAGATTTTATATCTCACAGTTCTGTGTTTATAGAGAAATTTCTCAGAATTGTGAGGAAAAAAGTCGCAATTACCTTTAAAAAAAAATATATATATATTTTATTCCCTGGTGGATACAGGTTTCCATAAGATGTTGTGTCTCTCTAAGCAAGTTGATAAAAAATCTATTAACTTGTATTGTTTTTTGCAGTTATTACTTTGATAAACATTAGGTGAAGAAAACAAAATATTCAGGCCAATCAAGTTGTTAATGGCATTTCCTCTTTCATTTACTGACTAGTTTCCCAATACATACCAGATTTGTGAGGTGAGTCTGAACTAGTTTACTTTGTTTATTCTCAGCAGTTCTCACACAGCTGATGGGGGCTTGTTGTCACACAGGAAGTTGTCACAAGCACCTTGAATCAAATGTCTATTGTGCAAATGCTGGTTTTTACAATCAGTGGTTGTATATGCTGGGTTCAAACACCTAGCTTAACTAGTTAATTATATTTTGTATCTGAACTGTTCAATAGCCTTTTTGCAGTTAAGTTTTGTGTCTGTGGGTTTAAACCCACAGGACATAAAAAATGTGACAACTAGCCCCGGTCTGTCTATTAATGCAATTAAAATCAAAGACATATATCAGATTGTGGTGCATGTAGTTGTATCAACACTCTATATCCGGGGGTCAAATCATGTTCACACTTTATTAATGTTAAAAGAGACATTATACAGTGACCATCATCTGGTTACAATAAGCAATGATTCATATGTGTGTGATATGCTAGTGGATTAGATTTATTTACAGAGATGGCAACAGTCTGGTTGCCGAGACAGAAAGGTAGAAAGAGTCTGAATGCAGGCGAGCAAGAGTGTGAATGAGGAAAAATCTGGTAACCTTACCTATGACTGTAGTTAAGTAACGCAATCCAGACACGAATTTGTCTGGCCGTGATTCATTTTCACGAGGAGGGTGGCCGATTTCAACCCTTTCTGTGGAATGTGCGGCTAAAAAAGAAAATAAAAGCAGCCATTGTCTTTATCTTTATTCCTCTCTTGGAGTTTTGTTGAGCCGGTCAAACATGCTGTGAACAGCAAGAGATCAGGGAGAGTTTCCTCTCAATTCACCAGTTCACTTCTGTCTGCCATCCCTCATGAGCAAAGAACTAGAACCCATTTTCAAAACATCATGTAAATTTTCCCCAAAAGAGATGAAGGTCGTTTCTATTTAAGTCTGCATTTAGCTGATGCCAGTACTAATATTAAAACCATAAAGCGGTAGTGAATATATTTAGTGAAAAAGCAGAGCATAAGCTTAAATTGCTTATACTTTAATGAATAATGTAATAAAGTTCTGCAGCGTCTTTGCTCCAGACATGAATGATTCCTTGAATCGTGTGTCTTTTTGAAAAAGGTTGTTTCACCTTTTTTCAGAAGATTTTCACCTTGAGGACACCTTTGACTTTTGGGGCAGCCACTTAACACCTGGAACACCTTAGCAACTACCTGGAATCGCCCTAGTAACATCCTAAAAAAGACTCAGAACACCTAAAGCACCACATACTGTAGAAATCCCCTGGCAACCACTCACTACACCCTAGCAACCACATAGCAACGTATTTCAAACTACACTGAACCTCTTATAAACCACATAGCAATGCACCAATGACCTCTTAGGACACCTCGGCAGCTGCATAGCAACACCCTAGCAACTGCATAGCAACAAACAACAAACCACTCAGAAGACCTTTGTAATCTTTAGCAATCTTAGCAACCACATAGCAACATGGTAAAAACACTCAGAACAGCTCAACAGTCACACAGCATTGCCCTAGCAACTGCATAATAACATGATAAAAACACCTTGAACAGCTTAGCAACCACACAGCAGCGCTATACAAAATTCTATATCAACCGCATTGCAATTTCTTAGCAACCACAGTGCCTTAGAAACCACATAGCAACCGAATTACAATCCACTCAGGAGACGTTAGCAACCACATAGCAACACCCTAGCAACTTTATAACTAAATACTATAGCAATTGTATTGTAATGTCTTAGCAACCACCCAGAACAACCTAGAAACTGCATAGCAACTTGCTAAAAACTACTCAGAACACCATAGCAACCACATAGCAACACCCAGCAACAGCATAACTAAATACTATAGTGACTGCATTGCAATGTCTTAGCAACCACCCATAATAATCTCAAAACTGCATAACAACATGCTACAATCCACCCAGAACACATTAGCAACCACATAGCAATAGCCTAGCAACTGCATAACTAAATCGCATTGCAATGTCTTAGCAACCACCCATAATAATCTCACAACTGCATAGCAACATGCTACAATCCACCCAGAACACCTTAGCAACCACATAGCAATAGCCTAGCAACTGCATAACTAAATCGCATTGCAATGTCTTAGCAACCACTTAGAATAGGGTGACCATACATGCCATTTTCCCAGGACGCGCCCTGGCCAGGATTTCTATATTGCCTAAAATATCTAGGCTTTGGCTTTGTTTGCGTGTGCAGACCGATCGGTGTATGACATCAAAATACCATACAGACGGTTCCTTATGCTTTCAAAATGCTCTCGAGGTATTTTGATGTCATACACCGATCGGTCTGCACACGCAAACAAAGCCAAAGCCTAGATATTTTAGGCAATATAGAAATCCTGGCCAGGGCGCGTCCTGGGAAAATGGCACGTATGGTCACCCTAACCTAGAACAACCTCTATACTGCCTAGCATAATGCTACAATCCACCCAGAACACCTTAGCAACCACATAGCAACACCCTATCATTGTGACTGTTGGTTTTGTACATGACTGAAGTCAATGTCATAAAGCAGATTTCCTTTAATGTACTCGAGTCTCGGTGCGGCACCAATAAACACAGTAGAGCCCTTCCCAGCACTAATAAA